GACGTCGGTGCTCCGGACCCCTCCCGGCTCGGTCATCACCGGCCCCATGCCCCCGATCATCCACGCCCCGCGCATCAATGTTGTCCCGATGCCCCCATCCGGACCCCCCATGATGGCCCCTCGCCCGCCTCCCATGATAGTCCCAACAGGTGAGTGAGTTGCGTCGCTTTTCGGCCGCCTTGCATCGACTCCTTTCTGCCTTACGCGTCGGGAATCGTACCTGGCTTGGCAGCCACGGGTGCAGAATTGTTTATGGCGCTCAGCTAGGGTCCTTTGGTGGCGTTCTTGGCTTTTGGCTGCCCTTCCGTCCAACGTTGGCCCCTCTTTAAAGTATTCATGGCATTGCTAGAGGCGCCAGCGGTGTCTGATGGTGTCTGCTCTCCCTTCCGGCTTGGCCGGTCCTGGGAAAGACCTTCGAGTAAGCTTGAAAGCTCCTCTCTCTCACAACCGAAATTGGTCCAATGCGACATTTTCTCTCCCGTCCTGGGAGACTCACAACTACAGCCGTAACTCACCGGCTGTTTAACTAGAGTCCTTTTCAAACCAGCGTTACATTGAGATCTGTCTGACGGGGACTTCTTACCTTTCCACAAATATCCGAGGGGTCGCCGTGTTAGTCGGAATCGGCCAAAACGACGAAAAGTCCCGTGGCACGTTATAGACGAACGGATTTATCGGAGCAGAAGCTTTCGGGGGCAAAGATCCACTTTGTCAGATGCGTGGCGTGGAAATTGCAGAGGCGGGTGTGTGTGTGTGTGTGTGTGTGTGCGCCCCTCTCTTATACCTGCCTCTGGAATTTCCATTCCACGCATCTGACAAAGTGCGTCGTTGCCCACGAAAGCTTCTGCTCCGATAAATCCGTTCATCTATAATGTACCACGGGACTTTTCGTTACCTGTCCGCGTGAGCAAAAGCGTACGCCGCTGTTTATCCCCCCTGGTCTCTTCAAGGCCTATAGTAGCACGACGTGTTTGTGTGTGACCGCTAGGCATGTCAACTTCCTCCTTGTCTCGTGGTTCCGCTCGGGTCCCCGCCAACCCACTGCAGCGCTGTGTGTTGCTGAGTGTCATGGGGGAGATGTGTATGCAACTCTTCCCTCTCCTATTCCAGCCTTTGTCCCCGCCCCTCCGGTGGCTCCGGTCCCTGCCCCGGCGCCGATGCCGCCTCACCCCCCGCCACCCATGGAGGACGAGCCTATGTCTAAGAAACCGAAAAGCGAGGACAGTCTGATGCCGGAGGAGGAGTTCCTGCGCCGGAACAAGGTTTGGGTTTCATGAATCGCACTCGCGAGAACTCTCAGCACTGGGGAGATGGGGTCTCTCTCCAGAAGAGGCCGTCTCTGAAATAGTTCCCCCCGGGCCCAGAGCAGCCGAGTTAATTGAGTTGGGTACCGCAACTCACGCGCTGGAGAGCAGCGTGGCACAGGGAAGTCAGACCTTACGGGAGGGCCGTGCGTGCGGAGGCCTAGCGGTGTAGGTAACCACGCCGAACGTTTTTCCTAGGGTCCGGTCACCGTTAAAGTCCAGGTGCCCAACATGCAGGACAAGACCGAATGGAAGCTGAGTGGGCAGGTCCTTGTGTTCACCCTTCCGCTCTCCGATCAGGTACGTCTGGGCATTCGCCCCCGCTCTTC